TATCCCACACTGCTCACCCACCCCCACCCTGCTTGCTCTGTTCCTCCAAGCCCAGGTACTTTGCTGTTCCTAGGCTAAGGACAAGTGAACGTGAGCGGGCACTCCTGAGTTTTCTAGGGTTTAGAACAACAGGCCCCAGTCCCCCAACTCCCTCACTAGGTTCCTATTTCCAACTACTTTGAAGTCTCATGAAGCATGTGGATTAGTTATCAACAGCCTGTCTGCCATGTGTTGAGTGACTGAAAGCCAGTCACTTGACCTCTTTGGGTACCATGGTTCTCATCAGTGGACATGTGGTTGTGGGAGGTTGTGTCAGTTAGGGCTAGCTCAGATTAAGTGAGTTAAGCATGGTGTACACACACACACACACACACACACACACACACACACACACACACACACACGATGGGGGATGTCCTTCTGTATATATGTTTCTCTTATTGGTTGATGAATAAAACACTGGCCAATAGAGGCAGGAAGATAGACAGGACTAGGAGACAAGGAGAATTCTGGGAAAGGTAGGCAGAGAGAGAGAGACAGCAGAGAGATGCCATGTAGACCACAAAGTAGCCAAGACCATGTAGCAATACATAGATTAGCAGTTATGGGTTAATAATTAAGAGAGAGAGAGCTAGCCAATAAGAAGCCCTACCCACCAGCTAACAGTTTTATAATTAGCATAGCATCATCCATGTGTTTATTTGGGGGCAAAAGCAGCTGTGGGACCAACCTGGCAGACAAGAAAACTCCAGCAACACACACGGATTTCATTAGTTTCAGAGGGAGAGGTGCCTCCACCTTATTCAACTGTAGTGACCCCTACCAAATACTGGGAAACAAGTTATCAAGAGAAAGAAAGTAGATGTTTGAGGTGATGGTGTCCCTGGATGGCCAGCTCTTAGAAAAGTCTATGAAGCAGGAGAGACCTCACTGTGCCTTGGTTTCCACATGGGTAACATGGGATTCCAGGGCACACACACAGAGCCTTAATCTCTTCAGGCTGCAAAACAAGCAAACAATAGACACGCAAGCACGTGCTCACGTGCTCACTCACATACCCACACGAGAGCTTGTGCACGCGCACACACACACACACACACACACGCACACACACACACACACACACACACACACACACACACACACACACACACACACCCTAGCCTTGGTGGCTGAGGAGCAGCAGAAATTCATTTCTCATGTTCTGGAGGCTGGAGGCCTAAGGTCGGGACAGCAGCAGGTTCTGTGTGTGGAGGGCTTCCTGTATGCCCACATGCAGGGGGATCGGGTGCCACTTGTACCTTTCAGAAGACACCAATCCCACTATCAAGTTCTAACCTCACGACCGACTAATCCCCTTCCAAAGGTCCAGTCACCGATGACCTCACATTGGGGTTAGGATTCAAGGCAGGAGTTTGGGGCACACTTAACCTGAGATCTGTTGTAACTGTGCTGTGGTGATGCAGGGGACTTAGTGAAAGATGTAGCAGATGGTTGCAATGGAGGTCCTTAAGCTCCGCTCTCCACCCCATCTTCACCATTCCTAATGTTATCACGCGTCCTCACCCACAGATGAGATCTGCTCATATGTTCTAACCACTGCCATTCCTGGTCCACGTGCCTGGCTTGTCCACTCTGCAGGCTGCCATTTGTATATTGCTGGGTTTACTGTGTTAGACCCATTATGATCCCGAGTGATGGAAAGATAGGCACTCCGTTACTTACAAAAAGGGTCAGCCAGCAACTGCATGATTAATTGCACAGCACCTCCTTGTGCGTTCACCGCATGGTGCTGCGACAACCATGTCCTGGGCAGCACTGTTGGAACTGGTCATACCAGTGAGTGGACGATGCTGTGCCTGGTTGCTCTCCCCCTGCTTTCCCTGGCTAGCCCACATACGGCTTGGAGCCTACTTTGCAGCTTGGCTCTTCTGAGAATCTTTCTTCTCTGCACCCAGCCCCGTTCCTCTCAGAGGGACAGCTTTTATTGTTTAATCTGACAGACAGAGGCCTAGCGAATATGATCAGTTCCAAGGACTTCCTGTTCCAGGGCCTTTGGAGCTATTTTAAGTTCCTGCTTCCCCAGCTGAGTGGAATGTTTCAATCTCAGAGGGGACTCTTACACAACAGTCCCTGTCCTTGGCACCTACCCTGAAGATGGGTGTCATTCCTGATGAGTGACCATGAAGATGAGTCCCTGTACTCGTTGCTTACCCAACAGGTGGGGGTCTCTATCCAGGTCATGGTTCTGCAGAAACTTCCTTTTCCTGGCCATTGGCCTCTGAAGGGGGTCCTTGACTGGTCACTGACTTGTGAGCGTCTCTGGCCTGCACCAACTCTGTAAATGGATCCTGTCCTGGTCACACTGACCCTATAGATGTGTTCTTGTCCTCCAGGTTACTGTGTGTGTGTGTGTGTGTGTGTGTGTGTGTGTGTGTATACAAGTGTGTATTTCTGTGTTTGACTGTGGTGATGTATACATGCCTTGTATGGACATATATGAGCATATTTGTTCACAATGAACACACAAATGCTACGTCATCCATTGCTCTGAGTATCATCTATATCTCCTGACAAGAGGGTAGAATCCTCCTGAGTTCTTTGCTGGTCCTTGGTGCATCCTGGCCAGCAAGGACATCTTCACCCCCAGGCAGAGCTGTAGCACCTCTGACACCTATCTGGTTTAGAAATCTGGCCGTAGGCACGTGACCACGAGGGGTCACTGTTGTTGCTTCTTCTCCAGTTGCTATTTGAGTGGCCACATTGGAGGTAGATGGTGAATGAAGGTCTAGTTTTTAAAATGAACCTGCCGGACTCTCTATAGGTGGCTGGGTTAGTCCCTGACTCTGAGTTTCCCAGTAAAGAGTATTCTGCTGCTGTATCTTGGTGCCAGATTAGCTCTCGGAAGAGCTGGGTATAATGGATTTCCCACCACACTCCGAGGTAATGTTCAGAGACAGCCGCTGGCTCCTCCCGAGCAAGGACATGTGGTGTTTTACTGGGCACAGCATTTCTCCAGTCTGAATGCACAACATAGGCCATTGCTTTGGACCATGGCAAAAAACAAGTAGGGTCCCCAGTGAAAGCCACTTGTGTATGGCCACAATTCTGCTTATGCTTTTGCAGGGTTCTTGAGTTTTACATAATGATATCAACACAACCACCAACGATACCTTCAAAAGATTGCAATTTGACTCTTTCCCCGCCTCCTCTCTCTTAAAAATTCAAGGACGTAGCTCCGAGGTCAAATGATTTTTTTGAATACTCCACTTACCCGAATAGCCTTACAGGAAATCGGCTCAAGCACTTGCCATGAGGATTCGGCCGTGTTGCTTCCCCTGCTTTGAAACCCAGAAACACCAGAAGATGTGGCATTAATTCCCAAGCCTGCAGATCTTCCTGAAGAGCTAAACAGAGGAAGGCTACAGGTCATATAGGCAAAGGTATCGGCAAGAGGAGAAACTGAGATGAAAGCCCTGCAGAAGTAAGGAGCACATTTAGCTCTGGGAACTATTTGCTATCACAATGCACACAGTGAGGACAGACCCATCTCATGCCACGAGCCTCCTTCAGCCCAGGGACAGGGGTTGGCCCATCATTCACACAGGGGCAGGAAGATGCCCCAATTCTGAGGATTTCTCCAGGGATCTCCATATGAGACACTGTGGGACCATATTCTCATCAGATGCGCAGTGAGGTGTGTGTATGTGTCTCTCTTAGGAGGTCCTTCCACTCAGGCCAGAGGCCTTCTGTGTTGAGATGCGGGAACCCAGGCCAGCTTGTTTGCTTACGCCTTGGAAGTTTGACTTCATGTTTCTGAGAGAGCATGTAGTCTCAGGGAGTGGAAGACTGGCATCAACATACACCTTGGTGCCTGCCTTCTTTGTGGAAGAAGCTGGGAATGGATGTGGCCGGGGAAGCAAACCAGTTCTCTGAGCTTAAGCAGAGTCGGAAAATGGGCTTAGGGGTAGGGAGAAAACATGGATACATGCCTGTCAGTTCCGATCCTCTGTTTCTCTCCTCAGGCAACTCCTTATCTAGCATGACATCTGCCATGAGGCAAAGGCTTCGGAACCCATGTGGATTCCAAACCACCAGGCCTCCAGCTGAAGGAGCGAGGCATTTCCATGGGCATCCATTTCTACTGTGAAAGGAGAAAACTGCAGTGAGGCAATTGCTGATCTCTTTAATCTACCTGAGTAGGGACATCACGTCCCATGCCATGGAAGATGAGGAGAAGCCAGAGCAATGGCCTTGCCTCCCTGGGACCCAGGGTGCCATTAGGAAAAGTGACAATTGGAGATTCTCTGTGTGTGTATGTGTGTTTGAGTGAGTACTGTGTGTTCATGCATGTGTGTGTGTGTGTGTGTGTGTGTGTGTGTGTGTGTGTGTGGAGACAGGCCATGTACAGTGCCACAGACCAGAAGAGAATGGAGGAATGAGAAGTTGGCTCAGAAGTTGGACTGAACCTCAGGGCTTTGCACAGGTCTCTGTGGGCGTTTAGGGGACAGTAATGTTAGGAGTAAACGCGACTTTTGCCTTTGGGGGTTGTACTCTACGGGACCTTGTTACAATAAGCAAATGTGCAAAAAGAAATCTCCTTTTCATCCTCTTCGAAATGCCAGGAAAATATGTATTTCTTTTTTCTGAGTGGGAGAAGCTGACTTTTCACCTCTAGATTACTATTAGTAAAGATGTCTCTAAGCAAACTTGTCACTTCCTGCTACACTGATGTCAGTGGGCTGCTGGTAGCTCCCTCCCCTCTCTCTCCTCCATCTCCAGCATGGTCCACTCTGACTTGTGCACAGTGGGAGTCTGCTTTCTGTTCCTCATGCTGGGGAGGCCCCAGGAGTGTCTAGAAAACCTGGGGCCTCCCGAAGCTGAATTCCAGAGCATCACCCTGATGGCAGGGTCAGTGATTGTTATTGCCACTGTCCACAGAGGCTGGGTCAACTCCCCTGGAACTATGGGTACTGTGGTTGGGAGCTGTAGAGGACACCATGGCAGAGCAATCATGGAGGGGCCAGTGTGGAAAGGACAGCATGGCTGTAGTGTGGAGGACAGTGTGGCAGAGCCAATGTGAGGGCAGGGATGTAGGTTTTGCTCTAATTCCAGGCCTGTGGCCTTCTCTGTACAGCAAGCAGGACACGTTGTCCTCTGTGTTTTTAGGTTGACAAAGGCACTTCAACATCTCAAGATGCTTTCTATCCTCTGGCTTCCTTCTGCCAGCCACAGCGCCGTGTCCATAGGAAGCAAATACATAATTTCAGAACAGCTCTGCCAGTCACAGGGCTCTGAGATGAGCAGATAAATTTTGCATCAGGATGGTACTGGGCAAATGTGTTTCTTCTAATTAAACTTGTTGCAGTTGAATGGCTTCCTTTAGCTACATTTGAGAGGAGACTGTTGTGAACAAAAGAGAAATCTTTCACTCCCATGACCCGGGGTCTACAGATGGCTACCTCTTGTGGCAAGCACTAGTCCCTGAATTCCTTTATGTGAGCCGAGGAAGGTAATTGCAATGTGTGGCACCCCACCATGAAAGTACATCTCAAACTGGACTATCTGCTTAAAAAAAACCTGATTTGAGGTCCAAATTAATTAGAAGGTGTGGCTTTAAGATGTGACGGTGGTCTGTCATTACACAGACAAAAGGTAGTGAACCAAACACAGACTGCTCAGTGAGACCCGAATGTTGCCCGCATCTCTCTCTGTCCCTTATGGCATCATTGGGGAGCACAACCATTGCTCATGCAGGGAGCACCTTTCAATTAATCCTCACGGCCTCTGTGAATTAATGGTCATATTCCCAGGGTGTTCTGCACTCCACGTGGACAATCCCAAATGTGATCGCCACTTTGCAGTCAATTGTCTGAGAAGCAGGTTTCACAATTAAAAAACAATGTGAATCACAAAGGTGGAGAATAGAGCTCAGGGGTGGGATGTCTGCCTAGCACGCATGCACGAGGCCCTAGGTTCCACCCCCAGGCCTAGAACAAAGTGTGGATTACAAAGTGTGATGTGTAAGGGATGGCCCGTGGAAGCAGGAAAAGCACAATTACGTAACTCACTGTGCCAGATCCGAAGTCCCCTACTCGCCACTTGCATTTTCTGTAGCAGCCCCCTTCCCAGTGTTTCTGCGTTCCTGTGCTCTCTGGTGCCCTCCGAGCTGTGTTCTGTCTTACCTCATTAACCAACAGAGGCTTGCACAGGCAGGTAGGGGTGGGTGCTTCCTGACCTCAGCTGGTGGAGTGTCAAGTTCACTCTTTGCCTTCCTGTCCCCGTAGATGGTGTGTTTGGAAGATGCCAGAAGGTTCCAGCGATGGACACATACAGATACGAAGTGTCGCCAGGAGCCCTGCTGCACCTGAGGGTCACCTTACAGAAGCTCTCCCGTACAGGTAGGCAGAGAGGCCACTCCTGCCTTGATTTAGGCATGGGTAATGGGAGCTGGGCTTGTGGTGTCCAAGTGAGGCCTGAAGGGCCTGCACCAGGCAAGGCTTTGTGTATGGGTGTGTGGACTCTGGTTACGAACTCTGGCCTGTCTGTGTGCAGAAATTACACAGATCCCTGTGACTCAGAGTAAGCTACATTGAGGCTGCCTTTGGCCGAGACTGGCCTATCACAGTGGTCAGGTCAGCCTGAGAGTTGGACATGTTTCCAGTACCTCTAAGGTGTTGTTTCAGGTCATTGTACTAGTTTCTAGGCTCCTAAGAAGGTAAGTTTTAAATTTATGATAACATTTTAACAGCTGTAACAGGAACGTCTCACGTGTGATTTTATTGTACATGTGTATAATTTCCAAATTGAGGGGAGCCATATCATGAAGGCCAGTGTTTTACAACCTGTTACTAAGATAAAGTCATATTTCAGCTAGCCCCGGATGAGAGGTGCCGTGTTCTAAGAACAAAGAGTTACCCATCACACCAGGGAGCAGGACATGAGGGACTCAGTGACCCTGGGCACTGGGATAAAGGCATGTTCTCCTTGAGACCACATACTGCCCTGGAGAATACAGCGCTCTCGGGATCACAGAACTCTCTTTGGGACCCTAGGGACCTCAGTGCTTCCTGGGAGTCACATTTCTCCCCTGGGGGGAACTGACGTATTTTCCTAATGATCGTACTTGTTTCCCCGGGGCCAGATGAACTGTACTGTAAGGAATCTGTGGCCAGTAAGACTTGGAGGCACACTCTCATTTTAGAAACCGAGGTGTATTGGCTTGTTAGAGTTACTGGTGCATTCCGTGGACTAGTCCAGGTTAACACATGGACAGGCCATTAGACCAGTAGGAATGAGGTAAAGCACTTCTTTCTTCTTGTTTCTCAACCTGGGCTCACCTGTCTGTCTTCCTTTCTCCACCATTGTGTGTCATACATTCCCTTAATCATCAGTGGGGACCTGTTGCTATGGTTCTCTGTGTGGGACAATATCCATCTCCACTGAACTCCTATGTTGCCCAAGCTTGTTGTCACTGTGCATGCAGTAGCTGCCATTTCCCGGTCACTGGGACCTAACAGCGTGTCAGTGTCCCAAAATGATATCCTAAGAGAACGCAAAGTGGTTAGGGGCCTTGAGATCAGAGAGCGAAGGTGCTCCAAAGTGAGGTGTCTCTGATGCAGGCACATGAAGAAGCAGATAGGTCCTATTGATCGTCTCTAGAGGAGAACCAGGTCAATTTCAGTGGTGGATGACAGGGTATGTGGAGAAGCTACACACTGGCAGCTGGACCACTATGCCATCTAGCTGAGTTTTCCATTCCCCAACATCCAACTGTGTTCCTCACAGGGAGCCAACCTCGCCCACCTTCCTCAAGGTTTTTGACAGAGGTAATGGCTGGCTGTGTCCCCCATGGAAAGGTGGTTTCACCTTTGTTTTTGGAAGGAGGAGGTGGTTCTAGTGGCTCCTACCAGAACTTCCTGCCAAGAAAACCCTCACACCAACAGGCAAGTGTCTGTTCTTGTCATCTTCTAGAAGAGTGAGCATGAGAAGGGTCCCCAGAAGAGTCGAGTCCTTCATGATGGGGGGCAGAACATAGCAACAGCCACGGAAAGCAGGGAAGCTGGAGCTGGAAACTGACTGGACATATCTTCATCTGCACACAATAAACAAATGGGGTGGGGTGGCGTGTGTGAGATGCTATGAAACTTCCACCCCGCCATGCAGTGATGTGCTTTCTTCAGCAAGAGTCCACCGTATGAAGGCTCTGTAGCCTCCCCAGACAACACCAACAACTGGGACCAAGCGTTCAAATACATGAACCTATGGCAGCCACTTCCCATTCAAACCCTTACACCCCTCCCCTCCCCCATCTCTACCATCTGGGTTAGAGGGCACACAGGTGACACACCCTCTTGCCGATGCCTTCCCACTGTCATCCAGGTTTGCATACACTTCAGGATTATTCCCTAAAGTCCACAGTTTATGTGCTGACTCCTTCAGGTTGCGACCATTTTGTGGGTTCAAGACATATAACGTCATGCGTCCTCATTACAGTATCACAGGCAGGGTCTGTTCAGCCTTCAGAAACCTCTGTCTCTGCCTATTTTTCAATACTGTCAAATGATGTCATACCTACCCCATTAATGAGAGAAGCTGCCACTGTTTGAAGGACACCCCTCAACAAGACCAAACCTTTTGGCCTCATCCCAACCCTTAGGAGGGTGTGAGGCAGCAGCTCATTGGGCCCTCATCTCAGTTCCAGCCACCCTTTCCTTCTGTGCCTCTTTCATCTCCTCCTTCATCTGATCCCACCCCGTCTTCAAGTGGTCTTTGGGTATGCCACAAAGGGTTAACTAAAGCGGGAATTTACATGTGGAGCTTTGGGAGGCTGTCATAAATGCCATGGCAGGGACTTTTGGTGATGCAGCTTTTGGGTTCAGCCATGATTAACACCTGTAAACCCTCACCCATGTCCTTGTAAGAAAGCCTAGTAAACTCATATTTACTTGGGTAGAATGGTTGCTGTAATTCGTAATTGGTGCTTGTCTGAGATGGGTAGACATTTGTTCAAGTTTCCACAAGAAAATTTCATGCAACAGTTGTCATCCAAACAGGAAAAGGACATAACCAAAGATGAGTTTGGGAAGAGCCTCTCTGTTGTACTTACTATGAAGAAACATGTAACCCAAGCTAAGCTTTCTGAAAGCCAGCAAGTCACAGGACCAACCCTGATGTGGCCATCCTTTTCTGTGTGTGATCTGATGAATGTCATCCACCCAGGGAGTGTAGAGACATCCTCAAAATTATCGATGGACCAGGGAGTGTATTTCAGAGGCTAGTGTACCAGTCTCTGAAACTAGTACATGTTCAATGGGATTTAAGGGAGCAATGGCAGGCTAGGTTGCATTGTCTGTGCAGTTGATAGCCATGCAACTGAGGTTCAGGTTTCTTCACAGAAAGAACTTGTTGAAGAAGGGAGGAATTACCAGAGAAAGACATGCAAGGTGTGTGGGTGGGGAGATTCTCCATGTTAGCTTCTGATTTTGTAGGTAAATCGAATAAAGATGAAGATGAAATTTGTCTTAGTTAGGGTTACTATTGATGTGACAAGACATCATAACCAAAAACAAGCTGGGGAGGAAAAAGTTTATTCAACTTACAATTCTGCGTTACAGTTCATCAGCAAAGGAAGTCAGGATAGGGACTCAAGCAGGCCTGGAACCTGGCGGCAGCAGCCAAGGCAAAGGCCACGCTTGTTCCTCATGCCTTGCTCAGCCTGGTTTTCTTATAGAACCCAGGACCACAAGCCCAGGTGTGGCCACACCCACAATGGGCTGAGCCTTCCCCCTTCAATTACTAATTAAGAAATGCCCCGAGGGCTTGCCTGTAGTCTGGTCTTACTGAGGCAGTTTTTCAATTAAGGCTCCATCCTCTCCAGTGACTAGCTTGTGTCAAGCTGACATGAAATTAGTCAGCACAAGATTGAAGCACTGGCTCACTGTTTCTTATGGCTGCAGGGAAGAGCGGAGAAGAGAGTACAAAATATATCAGCGCTAAATAGCGCTTCTATTATCCAAAGACCTGGAGCCAAGGGGAGAAGTAAACAGGGAGGAAGAAGAAGATGAGGTAGGAATGAGCGAAGGGAGTGGTCATGGGAGAGGTGTGTGACTCAGTCATGAGAGCCAAGCCTAAAGCTCTCAGTCTGGTTGGCGTTGTCTTTGACCAGGAACTGCATTCAAGTCCCCCACCCTCCAGAATGCCAGTGCCCTGCACTGTAGCAGACATTTTTTTCAATTAGTTTTCTTTTTGTTTTTATTTAGCGTGAAAAAGGCTGTTGGAAGTGTTCTTCTGTACAGCAGGGTTTCTCTGTATTGCTTTGGAGGTTGTCCTGGGACTTGCTCTGTAGACCAGGCTGGCCCTCAAACACACAGAGATCCACTTGCCTCTGCCTCCCTCGTGCTGGGATTAAAGGTGCGGGCCACCAATGCCCGGCTTCTAAAACTTTTTAAAAATTCTTTTAAATTTCATTTTACATCCCAACCACAATTCTAGTCTTATTCTTGATCATGAATGCCTGGCCTTAGCTTGGCTTATTTCTACCCATCGTTTCTTAATTTAAATTATCCCGTTTCACTTTAACTATCTTTTTGCCTCTGGGCTTTTATCTTTCTCTATTCTCCATACCTTTCTTTATTTCTTACTCTGTGGCTGGCTGTATAGCTGGGTGGCTGGCCCCTGGCGTCCTCTTCGATCTCCTCTTCCCAGATGTCTCCTATTTATCCTCTCTGCCTGCCAGCCCCACCTATCCCTCTCCTGTCTAGCTATTGGCTGTTCAGCTCTTTATTAGCTCAATCAGGTGTTTTAGGCAGGCAAAGTAGCACAGCTTCACAGAGTTAAACAAATGCAGCATCAAACATGTGAGGCACCTTTTCATCATTGAACAAAGGTCCCATGATGTAAACAAGGGAAACACATCTCTAGCTGATATTACACAACAACTTTCATCTGATAAGGCCAGCAGTATGCCTTTACAGCTTTGCCTCAAGGCTGTACTAATTCTCCACTCCTGTGTCATAGCTTACTTCCAAAGTGTAAGCCTCTTGAGCCACAGGAGTAGCTATGCCTCTCCCCCGAGGACCTTTGACTGCCAGGTTCCACCCACAGAGTACAGAGTGCAGTCACCTGTAGTTGGAAATTTTTCTCGGTTTCTCTCCCACCCCCAGGGTCCCTGCATCCATTTATGAAATAACACTCTGAGGCTTAATATGAAATATAATTGTTTGGCCAAATGGCTCAGACATATTACTGGAGAGCTCTCTCTGATAAATTAGCCCATTTCTTCTATTAACCTGTGTATCACCACAAGGCTGTGGCTCACCGGTAATGCTCTGTCATGTTACTCCTTCGGAGGCTACATGGTGTCTCCCAGACTCCGCCTTCCTTCTCTCTGTATCTTTGT